GGCAATGTGGCTGCGAGCGGCCGGCCATCGCAAAGTGGCAGGGCTTAAGGCAGGCATCAAGCATCACGGCCAGACGGTACAGCCCACGGCGCAGGTGCATTTGTGGACAGCCTGGCGGCAAAAACTGGGCGGCATAGCTCGCAACCCACCATGCCCACCAACGCCGTCTTTGAGCTGCAACAGCCGGAACATCTCCACCAAATCTTCTGAGAGGTAGACAGTGTTGATCACAGGGCTGGTGGGCACACAGCCAACCTGGAACGGGTGCGCTGTGACGTTCTTCTCGCCGTGCGAAGTGCACCCAAAAATGGGCACCACGAGGGAGCCCGCCACGCCGCCAAGGCCGTGATACACTGCCGGCATGGTTTCAGTCTTCCTGAAACAGCAAAGAGTGCCGTCATGCCGGCCAGCTGTGGGCCAGCAGCGCAGTGGCTCCGTGCTGTCCAGCCGCGCCTGAACCTGCTGGATTTCTGCCGCCCGCTGCCCCGCCTGCAGCGCCGCCCGCTGCGGTGTGGTGGCCAGCATCATCTGCTCGTCCGCCTCTCTCCTGTCGTCCCAAGCATCGTGCCTGCGCTGCTGCCGCTCGCTCCACCAGCCGCTGCTGCTCGAGGTGTTTGGCCCCGCCTCGGCATGGCGCCGGCTGCGCTGCCCGGGATGATTTATAGGAGGAGCCTGACCTGGTCTTTTAGATGCCTGCCTGCGCGGCTGTTCATTGTCAAGGCGCCTCCCAGGGTTGGACTCATGCACGCTGATGTGCAGCTTGGAGGGAGTCATGAAGCATTTGGGCTACCCGGAGTCGATCACGACAAACGAGAGGGAAAATGGTGGAGGTTTGAGGGAGATGAAGCCTGAAATGCATGATGGGTGGGGGATGCATGACCCCCGCCAGGAGGGGACCGGTGATCGGGATGCCTACCTGCATGTGCCCATCCAACTGCTTCAGCATTGAAGCATGATTGCAACAGATGTTTGTTTGAGATCCGAGCAGCACAACTGGAGCTGACCAAGCCCGCTACGCTGGCAGGTAAAGGTAAAGGTAAAGGTAAAGGTAAAGGTAAAGGTAAAGGTAAAGGTAAAGGTGGGGAAGAGCCTCCACAAGCTTGCTTGTGTGGGCTTAAAGTCTGGTAAAGCAAGAACTAGCTTGCAACATAGACTCCCCGCCGAAACGGGACGGGAACCGGGCGAAAGCAGAGAAAGCAATAAAACAGGGGTGGAGCAAGGCGACATGCAACGCAAGCAGCTGACAGGGCACGCATCGAAACGTGTGTATGACTGGCAAAGTGGCATGGCGCATTGGGGAGAAACGCAACGGTACGGGAGCATGGGCTGGCCAAACGGCAGTGCGGAACGCTAGGTCACTAGA